ATTAGCCTTTTCTAGTCATCTGTCGAGGTGTTGACTTCAAGATGTTTGTTTTCCAGAATAGTTCTGGTATTTCGTGATAACCATGAGTGTGAAAAATAGTAGTAAACAAGGTCTATTAATCTGCCAGTTATTTAGTGAGGTGAGCTGATTTGATCTGCATTGGAAATTTGTACTGTAGAGAAACAGGAATTCTCATAATTTATAGATAGAATTGTAATGAAAAGGCTTGACAATCAGCACCTTCAGTATAGGGCAAATGAGATGAAATTAAATATGTATTAGGATCAGGCACTAATTAGTCCTGCATCTCATTCATGGTGGACTGCAGCTGCTGCCATTTTTACTCAACACAAAGAACATCACTTACCACCAGGTAGCAATGCAAACAATTGGTTGAGACTTTTATCAAAAAAAAGGTGCATGTTTTTACTACAAATATATGTTTTCATACCTGTAACATAACTTAATGATATGTGATATATAGTCATGTGTTGGTGTAATATGTTTTGTAGTTATAATTATAAAAAATTAATATGGTTATTGCTGTGTGTGATTATTTCATATCGTCTTCCAAGAAAGAATTAGAAAGAGATTTCACATGATAATGTGATCTGTAGGAAGCTTAAATGTGTGATACAGCTTTTATCTAAAAATACTTTAGTGTAGTGTCAAACATTAAAGTGTCATATTTTACAAATACGACAGTTAAATATAGATGTATATGTTGGAGTGTGAATCACGAGTGAAAAATATCAATATTTTCTATCATACAAGTGAAAAATGTATTATATTCTTCAAAGGAAATCTAGCAAAAAATTTATCCATATATATCTGTTTCTGAATTTTAAAAAATTGGTGAAAATTAGCACATTCCTTGATGTTGTATAGCTGTGACCTTATGTTTGATAAGACTGCGTCATTTTGAATAGGTCACTACTAAACAACTTGTATCCAACTGTTTCATACTGTTTTCTACTTGTAATAGCTTCCAAACTGATCCAAGATATGAGCTTTAATGAAAACCTGTAGTGAACATAGCAAAGATTAATGAAAACACACTTATACATGTACAACCTTCTCTTCATTTCATTGCAGTAAATAAAAAGCATTTTCCTGATTGGTCAAAACAAGAAAATAGTTTTAAATATTAATTCATATTTTGACATGAACCAATGGTCAAAACTAAAAGAAAACTTTTAAATACAAATTCATATTTTGACATGAACCAAGATATGAGCTTTAAAAGGAAACCTGTAGTGAACATAGCAAAGATTAATGAAAACACACTTATACATGTATAACCTTCTCTTCATTTCATTGCAGTAAATAAAAAGCATTTTTCTGATTGGTCAAAACAAGAAAAAAAATTTAAAAATAAATTCATATTTTGACATGATTTGATACACACTGTCAATTACAGAATATCGATCTACCAAAACAACCAAACTTACCTATAACCAAGATCATATGATGGTAGGACACAAAAATTCATTTGGGATCTCAAAACTTCATCTAGGATCTCGAAAATCCATCTGGGAACTCGAAAATCCATCTTGGGATCTCGAAAATCCATCTGGGATCTCAAAATCCACCCGGGATCTCAAAAATCCATCTGAGATCTTAAAAAATCCATCTGAGGTCTTTTGTTTAATTCAATTAATTAATTCAAATAAGAGAAAAATGTACTACAAATTTGCTTACTGTTATCTTACCTTTAAAAATGTACACTACTCTTTTAAAATAAAGATGTAACAAACCTTGTTTGTGGAAGTGGTAAAAATAAAACACCTTTGGTGACATAACAAAAAAACAATGAATTGGCTGGAAAGATACCAAGGTGCAGATCCTGAAGGCAACGGAATCAAACTCACATCATATTTTACACATCACAAAAGGAATTTTTCAACATTTCCTTCATTTTATTCCACTTACAATGAAACAATCTGCTCAATATTGCATCTGGTTGTTAACCGATTTCATGATCCTGAATACCATCCGACAAATTTCCGTAGCGAAACAATTTATTTCAGATGCACCATCCTCATAACGAGAGCGCTTCCTGTTAAGGAACGTAAAATGCCTCAATCTGGAAATGATCAATAGGTCTTCTATAGATCAAATTTATCTCATACAGACTAAAAATCCGAAAAAGATGGCTTTTAGCGTGGAGGTTGAATATCATTTTATACGTCCTTGTCCTTTGTAGTACATTAGCTAGAGTGCTGTAATTCTCATCATATCATGTTCAAAGAATTTTTTTTTTCTTTTCAACATTCAAATTGACACAGCTGGAACAAGATCAGTACCATTTAGTGCTTTTACCAAACAAAGGAATCTGTTCTGACAACCATTTAAAACTCGACGGCATTTTGTGATGTAATATGATGCTGGAATTATTTGAAGTTAAGAACAATCAAAAGAAAGTTCAAAACATTGCGTACAAATACATGCAAATGTGAATACTACATTTTAAAACTTTGTAGAACTGAATAGAAGCTTTAAGAAATAATTCATCCCTAAATCTGGCAAACACACTGATTTTTTGTTTTTTAAGTTTTATGTTACGGCACCTGATCATGGAATGTTTTATCCTAAGAGTCTTGTTTCTATCAGAGCTTGTTATTTTCCGAACAAAACCAAACCAGAACTCTTTACTTCCTGAACACGACAAAATCATAACTCTTTGCTTCCTGGACATGACAAAACCAGTATTACTTTCTGGACAAACCAAGAACTGAACTCCTTTTTCTTTCCTGCACAAGATAAAACCAGGAATGTTTACTTTCTAGAAATGTTGAAACCATACAGAACTTTTATTGTATCCTGGACAAAGCAGAATTTCACATTAAGCACAATTAAATAAAAGAAGGCTTTTTCACTGACCGCAGAAGACAAAAACTGCTCTCTTTGTTTTAACGGAAAACCCAAACCAGAATTTCTGTCTCTGATAGTTCCTGTATTGAATAATTTTCATGAAGTACTTGGACCAATTTTCAATAAATTTCACGACTTATAGAAAAAATATTGTACATGGAAGTTTGTTGAATAAGAATAGTCTTTGTCCAGAGAATTCCTTGCTTGCTAGTTGCATCCACAGGGGTCTGTAATAGTATGTTGTACAAGGCCTCATCCCCCAGAGACATTGTTACAGGCCCCTGTGATAGTATACACTACCAGCCCTTATCCCCCAGAGACATTGTTACAGGCCCCTGGGATAGTATACCATAGAAGCCCTCATCCCCTCCCCCCTAGAAACATTGTAACAGACCCCGGTGATAGTTAACCATACAAACCCTCCTCCCCAGAAACATTGTTACAGGCCCCTGTAATAGTATCCCATACAAGCCCTCATCCACCATAAACATTGTTACAGGCCCCTGTGATGGCATCCATGTTAGTTCATAGAATATCCATGTATTGCCAGGGAATTCAATGCTTTTATACTTTTCTTGGAATTCCCTGTTATACTTTGTTAATCCATTTTCAGCATCAAAATTCCTTGTTATACTTTACTTTCTGGTCAAGTTAACCAGTTATATGTTTTACTCCTGACAATATGTCATTGTTTTTGTTGATTTAGTTCTAGTTTAATCTCTGGTGAAATAGATATTGGTATGATTTTTACCTATACAATATTATTCAGAGTTATTTTTTTCATAGGGAAAGTAGTTTTCTTTTGAAATAAAGATAAATTGATTGCCTTCAGCAAAACTGTGATTAAATCAATGATTTTGAGCTACAGGCAATAAAGTGTTCTATTTACATATTCTATATTGTCAACAATTATTTAGCTATACCTACATGTAGAGTCAAGTACCTGTTTATAGCATGAACACTGCCTGGTAAGGTTGATCGATGAATTGAAAAGAACCTTGTCCATAAACAACAATTTAAAGAGACACTTGAAATGGAGTTGGATTCTTTTCATATCAGATTCTAAACTCGTTATAGTTTGATTTTATTGTAATTAATTCATGCTGCGGCAATGACTAGTATTTTCCTGCTGTTTAGAATTATTGACTCGTATTTCATTTCACAAGTGTTGATAAGTTTGTTCCTAGAGTACCTTGTGTCTTTGGTGTTTTTATTCTAGTAGAATTCAGTTAGAAATGTCTTCAATGTTTTTTGCATGGAGATGAAACTAAATTCTTTAAAATGAATTTTATTTTCCAGGTCAATCATGGACAGAACGTAGGATGCTGCTGACCTGATACTGGGCATAGAACTGTAGGTATGAGTTTTTTAATTTAAATCTGACCTGGGAAGAGATGATAGTATCTCCTGAATTTAATCATTAATACTCCATCTTTAAATGGTTTGCTGATCAGATTTCCCTTCATCCTGTCATCAGCACATTCTGAAACAATCGATGTTATCACTTTTTCTGGAGAAGCACCAAATGGGTCACTCTCAAATTTCATTTGTAGACTTGCTCAGTTCCCTTGTTGTACATAATCAAATTTTGGTCTGATTGGATAAACAAGATGGCAGACAGGAAACCATCTTGGATTTTGTCGGTTAAAAGATTTTTATCTTTATTTCTACAGAATGATTGACTGAATCATTCTCAATTTTGTAGTCAGGTTTGCTTTGGTCCACAGCTGTGCATAGTCTGTTTTGGAATAGGTCAGAAAGCAAAATGTCCGAAAGGTGGCCATCTTGGATTTAAACTTTAATTGTAGAGGATATGCCTCCTGTTTTATAAACACAAGGATGCTGAGGTCAAGTCACAATTTTGGAGATAAATGTGAAACATTGTAATATAGTATTTTATATTTCTTTGTTGAAGTAATAACACCATACGTGAGAAAACTTTAAACAAAAAAAATCTTCTTTGTTGAGGACGATATAATAACAAATCAATTGACATTTCATAAATCATATACATATTTTTCATCAAAATAAGATATATTTAGAAAAAATATTATTTTTCTTTTATGTTCCCTTTTCTTTTTCATACATGAAGCTGTTTGATGATGATAGATGTTTGAGGATTTTATATGAAGGCTTTAATTATGAACCCCAATATGGGGACTAACCCATCACTCGCCAGTGACCCTACAGGGCACATGCAGCAACTGAACCATGTACATGGTAAGTAGTTACATCTATATTACACTATAAGTATACCTTGTTGTTGTAGTTTGAAATGTTGAGATTTTGTTACAGGATTACAAAATAATTCCTATACAAAATGAGTTTCATCGTTTTGGTTTAGATATGTTTAGATGATGTTTATCGTCAGCAAAAATACAGTTCATGATCGCTGTTTGTACTAGATATAAACATCTTAAATATCCTTCTGAATTTTATTGTAATCCTTCATGAAGATTCATTCTAAAATGTTGAAAAGATTTTTCTGGTGTTTGAGTTTGATAAACAAGGAAATTCCTGGCAGGGTTTATAATTTATCATTACCTCTGCATTACCGGTTATTTATTCTCAGTAAATAACAACAATTTTGATACTTAATTAACTCATAATATATAAAGAATAGTAAGTTGTAAGGAATAAGTAACATGGGGATATAGAGGGAATATGTTGTAGTTTTCTGACTTAGGGGAACATGTTGTGTGAGAGTACAGTCTAAGGGAGCTAACTCTATCACACATATATATATAAAAAAGATAAGATTGAAGTGAAAGTTGATATGAACTTTTGGACAAAATAGTTCATACTTGTGTGTTATTAGGTTGTGTGATAGTAAAATGCACATCATGTGTTGTAAAGGGGCAAAATTCTCATTACCTGTGTTACATCTGTTGAATATAAATACCAGGAGCAATTGCCAGCTGTATAAACATACTTCCACATTCCCAAGCGTCATTTTTCTGTTTTGATTTTTCAGTGGTAATCAGAGAGCAATTTAATTCATTTTATTGAAGCTAGAGTGTATATTCCTCACACAATAAAATCCACTCAACACAGCTGTCACATTTAAAAACCAAATATGTCTCATAAATGTAATAGATTATGGGTTATAAATCCTACACCTTCTGCTGGTTTGTAGTGATTTGCTATCTAATTACAAACTACAGCAATGTCAGGGTCCTGGTTAGTAATGAATTGTTATCCAATTACAAACTACAGCAATGTCAGGGTCCTGGTTAGTAGTGAATTGCTATCCAATTACAAACTACAGCAATGTCAGGGTCCTGGATAGTACTGAATTGCTATCCAATTACAAACTACAGCAATGTCAGGCTCCTGGTTAGTACTGAATTGCTATCCAATTACAAACTACAGCAATGTCAGGGTCTTGGTTAGTAGTGAATTGCTATCCAATTACAAACTTCAGCAATGTCAGGGTCCTGGTTAGTAGTGAATTGCTATCCAATTATGAACTTTGTTATTTTGATAAAATGAAAAAGATGATTACATGTAGATGTCTAGATGTAAATAAGAAAAAAATGAAAAGTAAATGTTGTTTAGGAATCAATATGTTCATTACCTATATCATTTAGCTTTAATAAGATGACTTGAATCCACAACTGATTTAATTTCATCACTTCCTGGTCATATTATCATTATACAGACTAAGGAGTGTAGCTCACTGACATGACCATTTCGTTTGTTGTGGGGTTGATTTGTCAGAGAAGTTGAGTAATGATATGCCTATACTAGCATTAGAAAGGACATATTTTCCATGTCTAGTTTCTGCGTGGATTTAAATATTTCTCTGTACGATTGTGTTTTATTTGATATTTCGTAAATCCTTTTACAAATTTTTGAAATAAAATAACAGAAATTGAGTAGCAATCATCGTATGTTCAGTGTATAGATTGATTATATACATTAATGGTACAGGTAGCTTGTTTTTAACACATGTGTATCCCTCCAATATGATCACATGTGTTTCACTCCAATATGATCACATGTGTATCACTCCAATATGATCACATGTGTTTCCCTCCAATATGATCACATGTGTTTCCCTCCAATATGATCACATGTGTATCCCTCCAATATGATCACATGTGTATCACTCCAATATGATCACATGTGTTTCCCTCCAATATGATCACATGTGTATCACTCCAATATGATCACATGTGTATCACTCCAATATGATCACATGTGTATCCCTCCAATATGATCACATGTGTTTCCCTCCAATATGATCACATGTGTATCACTCCAATATGATCACATGTGTATCCCTCCAATATGATCACATGTGTATCCCTCCAATATGATCACATGTGTATCCCTCCAATATGATCACATGTGTATCCCTCCAATATGATCACATGTGTATCCCTCCAATATGATCACATGTGTATCCCTCCAATATGATCACATGTGTATCCCTCCAATATGATCACATGTGTATCCCTCCAATATGATCACATGTGTATCCCTCCAATATGATCACATGTGTATCCCTCCAATATGATCACATGTGTATCCCTCCAATATGATCACATGTGTATCCCTCCAATATGATCACATGTGTATCCCTCCAATATGATCACATGTGTATCCCTCCAATATGATCACATGTGTATCCCTCCAATATGATCACATGTGTATCCCTCCAATATGATCACATGTGTTTCCCTCCAATATGATCACATGTGTATCCCTCCAATATGATCACATGTGTATCCCTCCAATATGATCACATGTGTATCCCTCCAATATGATCATGATTATTTACTGATTGATTTCCAAAACCTCTTTCACGTAAACAAAATGTATATGATCTCTGATTCTGGTTAGGGAAATTCACAAATTCACAAGTATTATATATTAAATATGTTTGTCTCAAAGTTGGTATAGTTATTATATCTTTGTTTTGATAGTTTTAAGCAATCAGCAAGATTTTTTTTTAAACATAAGAATTAATTCATCCTCATTACGACTAGTGTAAGCCTATTGAGAATGTTCTATAGGAACGTTAAATGGGCATGTGGTCAGTACTTAAAGATAAGTCTAGACAGGTATCTTTAGGTACTTCAAAAACATTCTTTAAAAAATGCAATTTTTTCTCAGTAAGAACGAGGCACATTTCAGGTAATAGAAAAATGGAATGTTCAAATGAGGCACAATATATGTACTTTGAAAATTTCAAACCCAATTTTAGGCACATTTTAGGTACTTGGCAAATTTCTAAGTCCAAATGGGGCACAAATTAGATGTATCTGCATGCACAGCATTTCTGGAAAATGGGTACTTTTTAGATATCAAAGACGGACCTCGGCTGTGAGGAGGTACTCTTTCTAAACATGACAACACATTTGTTAGATACACAGTTGTGATAAATCCTGTTTTGTAATTCACTAATCCTGTCTGCATTGATCTTAAACTAGATTGCTACATATCCTTGGAGTATTGTTATAACTATCAGAATATAACATTACAAAATAGTGTTAGTTCATGTTAATCAATATGGAGTAATGTCATTTTAGTTGGGGGGTCTTCTCAAAATCATATTCAACCAAGTGATCGTCTCAAAAAGAAATTTACCAAAGCATGTTTCTCTACATTTTTTGGTAACATTTATTTTGTTTGGTAAAATTTCTGTATAATTTGATACGTCTATGAAAGGTTTCAAATCATAGAATGCTACCACCAAAAACATGTAAACTCCCAACACCAATGTTAAACATAATACAGTATCTGTAAATATTTGCATTAATTCATAATAACGTCTGTTATTATGAGATATTTTTTAAATGAAGTCGAGAATTTTCTAACAATTTAAGTTTGCACCATGATGGAAATTCTGAAAAAAAGTTGACAAGTGTTCTTATTTGAAATCTAAAGCATATCACAAAAATATTTTTATTTTTCTTTCTATTAAATATGACAAACTAATACTTTTTACATGTTCTATAATTGCAATTCATACTTATAGACTTTTGAAAGTTTGTATAATGATATTTCAGGAATTTATTTAGACATGTGGTAATGACTGGCGTAATTTGTAATATTCCTCTTGGATTACTCCATAATTTAGATTTTCTTTAAAATTGAGCAAACTTTGAGTGAGATTCTGAATTTATACACATACATAGTTATCATGAATCTGACATAATTATTCCATGTCAGAAAATTCATATTTGTGTGGATGTAGATTTTAGAATGTTAAGAATTTTTATATAGATTAAAATCTATACATTATAGTAGCTAAGGTATTTTAAATTAAATATATGATTACTGACCACTGAGTGACCACATAATAATGCTGTTAACCAGGGAAAATGACATATACCTCAAACATCTGTTAAATACAGGTACATTAGGTCCAGGTATGGAATTGTTTCTGGACAGGTATGGAAATCTTTTTTGAGATGACCCTACAAAAATACCACAGTATAGTACATTTGGCAACCATCTTATGAAGTGATGTTACATAATCAAATCTGATTGACTGCCTAAAGGGTCAGCTTGGCTGGTCACTTGGTGGTCATTTGGCCAATCTTATGTCATAGGTCATTCACAGTGTCCAGCCAGACCAACAGGTAATCACCACACAGGTGAGTGGCCAGTGTTTATCATAGATATAGACCTATATTAGGAAGAATGTGGGGCCCCCATAGGGTAAATAAACAACTCAAAAATATATTTTATAACTTAATACACAATATATTCTGATCACACAAGAATAAAGGCACTGATTTGAAACCTGAGGTCTTGTAGAATTAACAGAAGTATATACATATACTGGCATTTACCCAAAAACTCCTCCATCCTCATTTATCACAAGATGTGTCTACATGGTATATTAAAATATCTTCTTTACATATTTTTGATGTGTGTCACCTCCCCTGTATAAAGTAAAATAGCCTCAATATATGATCACCACATTTAGTAGCCAGTTGTATCTATGTTGATACCATATACAGAAGTTACATCTCTATAGTGGCCAGTAGTACATATTGGTATCTTACATATAGATTACCTCTCTATAGTGGCCAGCAGTACATATTGGTATCTTACATATAGGTCACCTCTCTATAGTGGCCAGTAGTACATATTGGTACCTTACATATAGGTCACCTCTCTATAGTGGCCAGTAGTACATATTGGTACCTTACATATAGATTACCTCTCTATAGTGGCCAGTAGTACATATTGGTACCTTACAT